GCCAAACATTTTACTAAATCTTACTTATTACTCATTCCTAATTCTATTATAGCCTACTGTTTTGTTGGTTCTAGGATTTATTACTGCAGAGAATTATTCTCGACACACTCAAAACATTTACTGTCTTTCGCATGTGCAAGTCTGCTTATTCTAATCTGTATACAAATTAAAATCCCTTTTAAAGCTACCCTGTCTTTGTTACATAAAAAACTTAAGAAATAGGAGCAGGAGTAGACCATCTCGAACGTCGAGCCTGCTCCATCATTCAATAAAATCATGGCTGATCTTTTCATGGACTCAGCTGCACTTACCTGCCCAGTCACCATAACCCTTAATTCCTTTCCTCTTCAAAAATCTATTTATCTTTGCCTTAAAAACATTCAATCAGGTAGCCTCAACTGCTTCAGTCGGCAGGGTATTCCACAGATTCACAACACTCAGTCCTAAATCAGCTCCCCCTAAATTTGGGGCTATACCCCCTAGTTCTAGTTATACCTGCCAGTGGAAACAACCTCCCTGCTTCTATATTATCTATTCTCTTCATGATTTTATATGTTTATATAAGATTCCCCTTCATTCTTCTATATTCCAATGAGTATAGTCCCAGTTTACTCAAACTCTCCTCATAAGCCAGCCCTCTCAAATCTGGTACCAACCTAGTGAACCTCCTCTGCACCCCATCCAGTGCCAGTACATCCTTTCTCAAGGAGACCAATATTGTACACAGTACTCCACGTGTGGCCTCACCAGCGCCTTTTATACCTGCAGCATAACCTCCCCATTTTAAAACTCCATCCCTGTAGCAATTAAGGACAATATTCCATTTGCCTTCTTAATTATCTGTTGCACCTACAAACCAACTTTTTGTAATTCATGCACAAGGACATCCAGGTCCCTCTGCGCAGCTTATGCTGCAGTTTTTCACCGTTTAAGTAGTAGTCCATTTTGCTGTTATTCCTACCAAAGTGGATGACCTCATATTTACCAACATTGTATTCCATCTGCCAGACACTTGCTCACTCACTTAACCTATCTATACCCCTCTGCAGACTTTGTGTTCTCTGCACACTTTGCTCTACCACTCACTTTAATGTCATCTGCGAACTTTGACACACTACACTTGGTCCCCAACTCTAAACTATCTATGTAAACTGTAAACAATTGCAGTCACAACACTGATCCCTGAGGCACGCCACTAGCCACTGATCGCCAACCAGTAAAACACCTAATTATCTCCACTGTTTGCCTTCTGTTAGTTCATCTTCTATCCATGCAAATACATTACCCACAATGCCGTGCACCTTTGTCTCATGCAGCAGCCTTTTGTGCTGCACCTTGTCAAATGCCAAATGGAAATCCAGATACACCACAACCGTTGTCCACTGTGCCCAAAATGTTCTGATAGAATTCCAGTAAGTTAGTTAAAAATGACCTGCCCTTCATGAACCCATGTAGCATCTGCCCAATGGGAAAATTTCTATCTAAATGTTTTGCTATTTCTTCGTTGATTATAGATTCAAGCACTTCCTGCCCAACAGAAGTTAAGCTAACGGGCCTATAGGACCTGCCCTTTGACTATCTGCTTTTTCAAACAGTGGCGTCACATTTGCTGTTCTCCAATCTGCTGGAACCGCCCCAGAGTCCAGCGGAGTTTGGTAAATTATCACAAGCGCATTTGCTATTTCCTTTATCATCTCTTTTAGTACCCTGGGATGCATTCCATTAGGGCCAGGAGACTTGTCTATCTTTAGCCCCATTAGCTTGCCCAATACTACTTCTTTACTGATAATGATCGTTTCTAGGTCCTTACCTGCCATAGCCTCCTTGTATAGCCTCAATAGCCTTAGTTATTGGCATGTTATTTGTCTCTTCCACTGTGAAGACCGACACAAAATATCTGTTCAACCTTGGCATTTAGACAAGTTGACACTTTATAGCTACTACCAAGAAGGGTATGCTCATCTCTTGCTATGTTCTTCAATCATTTTCCATTCCTTAACACTACCCATAAAAACTCATGCTTGCTCAGCTCAGTTATCATTGCAGTGATTCCATCTTACACACTAAGTAGATTCCTCCCTTCTACCCTTCTAAGATTTTTCTCTTTTTTTAAATAAATACTACCACATCTTGAATTTGTACCTTACAATTTGGACTACACACTTTAACCTGTTCTTCTGTTGTACTGTTTTGCTCATGCATAATTAAACCAGGAGAGAGAAATACATCTTTTAATTTTCAAAGAAACATAGAAAGTAGGAGTAGTTGTAGGCCTTTTTGTCCATCTAGCCCACTCTGTCATTCAACATTGTCATGGCTGATCCTTTATCTCAAAACCATACTTCCATTCACTCCTCATACTCCTTGACACCTTTCTCGATAGCTATTTCTTTAGGACATCTACTGATTCCTTTTTATTTATTTTGTTAGTTTGATGCTCAAAAAATGTCCAACAGGTTTATTAGATATGATTCACTTCCATAAGTCCCTCTCCCTTATCCCGCCATTATTTTCTCAGCGCCCTGTTATCACATCCTTTATTACAGTTTCTTGCATTTTTCACCATGACTAATAGACTATCAGGTCTGTAGTTCCCTGTATTCTCTCTTCCTTCTTTCACTTATACTAGGGCTACACTTATAACCTCCCAATGTGCAGGAACCATTCCAGAGTCAAGATTCTATATAATCCTGAAAGGTAGTCATCTATTATCTCTGCAGCTACCTCCAAGGTGTAGATCATCTGGTCCAGCTGATTTATCTACTTTCATACCCATTCATTTCTTTAGTGTTTTTTTCTTTACTCAATATTAGAATTTTGTAATTTCTCATTCAAAATTGTTTCTTGACCCTCCATTATTTCTGGGAGGTTATTATTATTATCCTCTGAGACAGACACAGTACATTTGTTTAGTTTCTCTGCCAATTCCTAATCCCCATTATTAATTATCCTGACTTGGTTTGAAATGGACATACATTTGTTTTGCTGTTTTTCCTTTTTAGTATATATATATAATATGTGTGTGTGTATAATATATGTATATATATGGTTTTACAGTCATTTTCATTGACTTTGAACATTGCTGGATAGGCCAGTATTTGTTGACCACCCCTAATTATCTTTGTGAAGGTAGTGGTGAGGTGCCTTCTTGAACTGCTGTAGTCTTTGAGTGTAGTAATAAGCACAGTCCTGTTCAGAAGGGGTTTCCAGGAATTTGACCCAGTGACAGTGATGGAATGGTGACATAGTTCCAAGTCTGGATAGTATATGACTTGCAGGGGAAGTTGTTGGTGTTGTTCTCATGCATCTGCTGTCCTTAGTTTTCTAGATAGCAGAAGTTGTGGGTTTGGAACATACTTTTGCAGTCATGTTCTGTGGCTGAAATGACTGATTTCCAACAACCACAAATATCATCCTTTGGGTTACATATGATTCCAATCAGCAGACAGTTTTCCTCCAATTCCCATTGACCCCAATTTATGTTAGGGCACTTTGATGTCAAGGACAGTCATTTATATCCCCTATAAGCATACGAAATATGATGTAGACTATTTGGCCTCTCAAACTTGCTCTGCCATTCGATAAGATAATGGCTGATTTGTTGTGTTTTAGATTCCACATTAAAAATATTTAATGAGTCCTTGTTCATTATCTACTTATGCAGAAAGTTCCAAAGTGTCTAAATCTTGATTCTTCAGGGTTGCCACTAATTTTAAAACTGTATCCCATAATTTTGGTTTGACCCACAAAAGGAAACATCCTTTCTACATCCATCTTGTCAAGGCTATTCAGGATTTTACATACATCAATAAATCACTCTTCATTCTTCTAAACTCCAGTGCAAACAAGCCCAGCCTGGTCAACCTATCCACAAAAGACAATTTGCTCATTTTAGATGTCAAACTAGTAAACCTCTTCTGAACTGCCTCCAATTGGGTTTACATTTTTTCTTAAATAAAGAGACCAAAACTGCACACAATATTAGAGATGTGGTCTCACTGATGCCCTGTATAACTGAAGCATAACATTGTGACTTTTATGTTAAGTTCTTCTCGTATTAAACAATAACATCCAATTAGTCATCTTGATTATATGTGGCATCTGTGGACTAACATTTCCTGACTCACTCTAGATTTTTAAAACCCTCTGCTTCTTGGAATTCTGCAATTTTCCACATTGTTGATGGATGCCATTATTATACCTTCACTGAACAAGGTGTCTAGGAGCACAGTACTATTGCCAGAATTTTGTCAAGGCCTGGGGCATCCAATATGTTAAACTGTTTCTTTATACCACAGGGATTGAGTTGAAATAGTGGAAAGCAGGCATCTGTGATATTGGGACTCTCAGGAAGAGGTCGAGATGGATCATCTACTTGGCTCCTCTGGCTGACAAGTGATGCAAATGTTTTAGCCTTAGTTTTTGCATGGATGTGCTGGGCTTCCCTATCTTTGAGGATTTGAATATTTGTGGAGCCTTCACCTCCTCTTAATTGTTTAATTGTACACCACCATTCATGACTGCATGTAACAGGATATGCAGAACTTAGATCTGATCTGATAGTTGTGGGATTGCTTAGTCCTATTGCATGCTGCATTTGCTGCTTAGCATGCAAGTACCCTGTGCTATCCACCATTTCTTGATATCACGTGAAGTGAATTGAAGGGAATGGATGCTGAGTTGAGTATATTTAGGACCGAGAAAGAAGACATTTGGTTACTTATGGGTCAAGTTACTTGGGAACAGGTCAGGAAAATGTACTTGATATAATAGTTCAACCATGATGTAATCTACACTTGCTCCTATTTCTTCAGTTCTTTTAAACAAACTTGCACTTTAACATTCTGTAGCACCTACTGGGTTTGGAGCTATTTTGAAAGCTTTAAAGCCATTATCTATTTTTAAGTTATATTTTTATAACAAGTATACTAGAACTGCTTCCAGATCCTGTTGATGTGCAATAAATTTGTAGAAGTTGCTGTTTTTTCTGCTGTTTACAGATAGACAATTCCGAGTCCTGTTTCTAAGCACAGTCAGAACACGGCACACCTACAAAGAACCGCCAGCATCAGTGAGACGAAGAGATGCTCACCTTGAGGAGTCCACTGAAGACTTGGAGTATGGATTCTTTTCTAGTTATAGAATGCTGAATACCGTTCTCACCAGGACACAGTCCCTTGTGGTTGTGGTTGGAGATCCGGTAGCTCTTTGTTCCATTGGCAAATGTCGGTGAGTTGATAGTTTTCTGTTGCAGTAAGGTGTGTATGTGGTAAGATTGTATTGATATAGTTGGAATAGTGTAATTAATGTGATAGTTAACTTGACTTTTATTGTAGTACACCATGATTGCATTATTATTATTGTACATGTGTGCTGTTAGTTTGTGATTAGCCAATTTGTCATATCTATAATAATCATAAGAGAATCAGATTAGCTCAGTTGACCGGATGGCTGGTTTGCCATGCAGAGTGACACTAACAGTGGGGGTTCATTTCCTCATCAGCTGAGGTTATCATGAAGGATTCTCCCCTCTTCTAAGGTGTGGTGACCCTTGAGTTAAACCATCACTAGTCATCTCTGTCTAATAAGAGAGCAGCCCTATGGTCTGGTAAGACTATAGTGACTTTATTTTATAATCATAAGGTTGGAATGACATAAGGCAGATGAATTGTCTTCAAGTTGTTGATTAAGATAGTCTTGGATTCTGATTGAATGACTAGCTTTCCCGTGTTTTGTGCTAGCTATTTGAGAGCAGACATTGCCAGTGTAATTTAACATGGTTTCCAGTGTGCCAGGCACAGCCTTTGGTCAGCTGAGGAATTGTGTGTTTGATATCAAAGACCTCAAATCTGGCAACAAACTCATGCTGTACAGGTTGGCCAGATTACCTATCCTTCTGTATGTATCAGAGATACAGTCAATGTACAGCAGACACCTCAAATTCCAAGAGAAATATCACTAGCGATGTCTCCACAAAATCTTAAAAATCTAATGGCAAGGTTGATACTTCAATGTCAAGGTTCCGTCTCAAGCCAAAAGTCCATATCCAGGCACTGACTACGGTCAGTCAACTGCATTGGGCAGGCCACATTGTCTACATGCCTGACACCAGCAACTCAGACAAGCTTTCTACTTTGAGTTGCAATACAACAACATGATTCAGTTTTATTTGACAATTGGATTTACTGCAGCATTGATGAAAAAATTGCTATGATGCACAGCATGTGCAGAACCACCAAACTGCAGCAAGAAATGGCCATTGTCAGGAAGAATTGTCAATGGGAGGTCAAAACGGTTGATCAGTCACCAAAACATTTATCCAGAATTTTAAAATCAGTATGTCCAAATTTTGAATGACAACAGAAATTGCACCACCTTTTATCACATTGGTGATAAAGAATGGGAATCCTGATCATGTCTGTAATTGTTAGATTATTGTGAAGTGATTATTCATTCGCTAATCTTTAATTTTTTCAGGGAGGCTCTTCTGCCGTTAATGACTTGTCTATTTTTAATCTTCATTAAAATATTATTACCTTCTACTTATTGAAATTTTCAAATGATTGTTACCATTATAATGGTTAGACTTTTGGTGAGTAGAAATGCATTTTCTATGATTAGAGACCCAAATAATTTAAATTATAAAACAATACATTGCAGCACGGGAAAAGCCCTTTCAGCCCTCCAAGCCTGCACTGATTCTATTCCTTATTCAGACCTGCTACTTATTGCCCATGCACGGTATCTATCCCTCTGTTTGCCTCATGTTCATGTGTCTATCAAGGTATGCCTTAAACATTGTTACACAGAATATCATAGAATCACAGAATCCCTACAGTGTGGAAACAGGCCCTTCGGCCCAGCAAGTCCACACTGACCCTCAGAGCATCCCACCCAGACCCAGCCCTATAACCCACCTAAACTACACATCCCTGAACACTATGGGGAATTTAGCATGGCCAACCCACCTTTCCTGCACATCTTTGGACTGTGGGAGGAAACCGGAGCGCCCGGAGGAAACCCACGCAGACACAGGGAGAATGTGCAAACTCCACACAGACAGTCGCCCAAGGGTAGAATTGAACCCGGGTCCCTGGTGCTGTGAGGCAGCAGTGCTAACCACTGAGCTACCGTGCTGCCCCATGCAGTGTTAACATGCCTGCTTCCACCACCTCCACTGGCAGTGTATTCTAGATACCCATCATCTCTGTGTGAAAATTTTTTCTCACACTTTTCCCCTAAACTTTCCCCCTCTTACCTTGAACCTGTGCCCTCTTGTAGTTGACTTTTCCACCCTGGGAAAAAGCCTCTGACTATCCACCCTATCTATGCTTCTCATAAGTATGTAGACCTCAATCAGGTCACCCCTCAGCCTCTATCTTTCCAGTGAAAACAACCTGAGTTTATCCAAACTCTCCTCATAACTAAACCCCTCAGACCATGCAACATCCTGGTGAACCTTCTCTGCACCATCTCCAGATCATCCATGTCCTGCTGGTGGTGTGGTGACCAGAACTGCATAGAATATTCCCAATGTGGCCAAATTAAAATTTTATATGGCTATAACATAAGTTACCAGCTTTTATATTTGATGCCCTAGCCGATGAAGGCAAGTATGCTGATTGCTGCCTTGACCACCTTATCCAACTCTGTTGCCGCTTTCAGGGATCTGTGGACCTGTACACCTAGATCCCTCTGAATGTCAGTGCTCCTAAGGGTTCTGCCATTTATTGCATAATTCTCACCTGAATTTGATCTTCCAAAAAGTATCACCTGCATTTGTCTAGTTAAACTCCATCTGCCATTTCTCTGCCCAAATCTGCAATCTATTTATATCCCACTGTATCCTTTGACAATCCTCCTCACTGTCTGCAACTCCACTAATTTTGGTGTCATCCGCAAACTTACTAATCAGACCATCTACATTTTCCTCAAGATCATTTAAATATATTACAAACAACAAAGGTCCCAGCACTGATCCCTGTGGAACACCACTAGTTACTGATCTCCATTCTGAAAAGGACCCTTCCACCATTACTCTCTGTCTTTTGTGATCAAGCCTGTTTTATATCTATCTAGCCACCTCACCCCCGATCCCTTAAGACTCTACCTTCTGTAGCAGCCTGCCATGAGATATCTTATCAAATGCCTTACTAAAGTCCATGTAGACAACATCTACTGCCCTTCCCTCATCAATCATTCTCATCACCTCCTCAAAAAAATTCAGTCAGGTTGGTGATTCATGACCTTCCCTGCACAAACCCATGCTGCCTATCACTAACAAGTCCAATTGCTTACAAATGTGAATAAATCCTGTCTTTCAGTATCTTCTCCAACAGCTTCCCCACCACTAATGTCAGGCTCACCGGCCTGTAATTATCTGTATTATCTCTGTTTCCCTTCTTCAATAAAGGAACAACATTGGCCATTCACCAGTCCTCTGGAACCTCACCTGACGCCAAAGGGGATGCAAAGATATCTGTTAAGGCCCCAGCTATTTCTTCCCTTGCCTCCCACAGTCTCCTGGGATAGATCCCGTCTGGCCCTGGAGGTTTATCTACCTTAATGTATTTCAAGACACCCAGCCCGTCCTCCTTTATTATGCTGATTGCCCGAGAGTATCACTCACTTTCCCCTAACCTCAATATCCCTTATGTCCCTCTGTTTGGTGAATACTGATGTAAAGTACTCATTAAGGATCTCGCCCATTTTCCTCTGTCTCCACACATAACCTCCCTCCTTTATCCTTGAATGGGCTTTTTCTCTAGCTACCCTCTTGCTCCTAATATATGTATAAAATGCCTTGGGATTCTCCTTAACCCTGCTGGCTAAGGACATTTCATAGCTCCTTTAGACCTTAGATAGGCTCCTTTTTTTAGCCTAAGCTGATAATTTCCCCTGTCAAAGGTTCGCGAATCCTGCCTTTCCTGTCCTTCATTTTCATAGGAACATGTCTGTCCAGCACTCTAATCAACTGGTCCTTAAAAGACTTCCACATTTCAGTTGTGGATTTACCCTCAAACATCCACTGCCAATCCACATTCTCCACTTCTTGCCTAATTTGGTTATAGTTGGCCTTCACCTTCAGCTGAGGTCCACTCTTGTCCTTATCCGTAAGTGTCCAAAAATGTATGGGATTATGGTCACTATTCCCAAAATGCTTTCCCACTGAAACTTTGATCACCTGGCTGGGCTCATTTCCCAATACTAGGTCCAGTATGGACATCTTCCATGTTGGACTAACCACATACTGTTTCAAAAACCTTTCCTGGACACAGCCAACAAATTGCTCCACATCCAAACCCCTGGGACTAAGGGAGTTATGCAGGATAGTGGATCAGCAGTGACCAACTGATCGAGTGAAGATGTAGTGAGCAGTTGCACTGTGTGCCAATGACAAATTGTAATGCAATACAATTATGTGTTCACAGCATTTGTGTTGATAGCACTGAATAACTTCCATCTTTGTTTACATAACAGTAATTAATTGTGCGAAATACTTTGAGACTGCTGAAAATGTTACCTACACAATTGCAAACATTGCTTTTATTATTTTCAGTGGCATAGCTTTGTAGTTGCTGGATGTCAGATGCTGATAGATACCCAGGAGCTTCTCACATTTTTTATTAGACTTAAGAATAAGGAGGGCAAGAGGAAAATGGTTAAAGTAGGTCGTTCGTGGGGAAAAGGGACCGGGTGTGTCTTGACAATGGAGAACGAAGCCAGGTTAGACTTGCCATGATTAAGGCTGAATTGATGGTGATTGAATATACTGCTGAGAGTCAGATTTGCTGCTTCGATTTGGAACCAGGTGGACCTCTTTAACTATGAGGTTCTTGATTGGGGTTGTTAACCTGGGCCAATGCAACCGACCAGGAATGGACATCCACACCGGAACAAACCATCAGCATACAACAACAAAAGACCAGAACAAAGAAAAGAATAGACCTCCAAGAAAAAACTGTCCAAAATCACCCACATCAATGACATGGACAACACCGATTCATGGATTAAAAATATCTTGGACCGACCACTTACGGACACTGAGAAGACCGTCCTAGTACGTGGACTGAATTATAACTACAGAGATGCCAAAAACACTGACTTCCTGGCTGCGCTGGAATCAACATTAAAGTACAAAGGACTCACGAAAGAAGTACAACAGACCATCAGACAGACGATAGTCCCAAAAGTGAACAAAAAAGGAAAGTGGAACTCATTCAACAGAG